ATACAAATTCACATAACCTCTGTCCTCCGATCTGCAACCTCCTTGCAAATCCGTCGGCTTTCAACCACACTAATGACCAGCCCACCAGTGTGGATCCCCAGCTCACGGCTCTTCGTGAGATTGCATCACGTCGAAACGGTTGCGATTAGCGCGATCTCGCAAGAAGTCGTAGTTGAGATCTGCCTCGTCTATCCAGGTCGGATCTTCATATCCACGCCAATGTACCAGGAATTCTCGGTAGATCCGGCCGTATCTCGTCCTCTTGCCAGTTCTCATGTCAGAAATTCGCTCCACTTCATATTCATCCGGATCTCGATCTTGGATCCAGCTATCTTCAGGTAGGAGAGCTTCATCGAAGTCCACTCGATCTCCTTCTGATCCGTTCAGCCGAGTTACTGGTCGATCTGGGAATACCTTGACCAGTTTGATCTTCGATACATGCACCACCGGAAAAATGCTGTATTTGGATCCTGTTATCTCTAACCTCACCGCATACTCTCCGATCTTCTCGGCCACGCGGAAAGGGCCATGCCATAAGTGCGCCAGCGTTTTTGCATACCCTTCACGCACCCGATCCAGGTATAACCAGACTCTTGATCCAGACTCTACAGGGTGCGGTCGTGCTAGGTCGTTATGCATATCAGCCCGATCCGCGATCGCTTCTCGTAGAGGTTGGTTCACCTGTTCTCTGGCCTGCTAATAATACTTCTGCATCCGATATCGCCATCTTCTAGGGTCTCGATCGTGCCTTCGAGTGCTCCCCACCAGGATCACAGCGTCCAGGGTAGATCTAGGATCCCAGCCATGTATCATATAGAAAGGTGTTTCGCCCCGGATCCGATCCCTTGCGGTATTGATCGCGAAGGTGACTCGTTCTGCGTACTCATCCCAATCTCGTTGGTCCAGAACTTCCACATACATTTTGAGAGCCCTGGTAGTTGTCTGGACCATACGTTTCGCAGATCCGTTGGCTTGGGGTCTATATGCCATAGTGGCCCGTTGACGTTGTCCCAGGATCCTGTTGAACGACTTAAAGAAATCAGACATAAAAGCTGGCTCCCGATCGTGTCGGATCACCTCGCTCGCACCAAATCGACGAAAGACACATTCTTCATAGGTCTCGGCAATTGTTTGAGCGGATCTGGAGGCACTAGCCTTGGCGATCACATATCCCGAGAATAGATCCACAAAGATCAGCAATTCGGTATTGCCGTTGAAGGATCTAGGCAGCCAGGGTATATGATCCATGGCGATGATCTGAAATGGGTACGTTTCCTGAAGGTTACCAGGCGACTCGCCCTGGATCCGAGGTTTTCCCTTGCCTGTCTCACAGTCAATGCATTCTCCCACATATCGTTGCACACTCTTATACAAACCCCTCCAGTGGAATTGATCACGGATCCGGTCATAGGTGCGGCCAACCCCTTGGTGACCGCCCTGTAGACTGGTATGGTAATGGTGCAGAATATCTTGTTGAAGCGTCTCAGGTATGACTAGTCGCATCAACTTGTCTCGATCTGCAGCTGCTTCCTTAGTAGTCGGGCAGTAGAAGAGCAGATCCGACTGATCCACTTCATAATTCATGCCAATAGATCCAAACATCTTAGCATTCTCTTGTGTCAGATCCCGGATCTCACGAACCAAATACTTCGTCAAGCCTAGGATCCACGACTCTTCATCATGTGCTTGCCGGACCCGTTCGATCCTCAGCTCTCTCACAACCTCCTCCCGTAG